CAGCATAGGAGGGTTAAAGATGCAAAATGAAACAACTTGGCAACTTGGAAAAAAATTTTTAAAATTGTGTATTTCCTTGAGGCCACATCTGGGTGATGTCGATTGGTGGGTGCCATATTGAGGTTCAAAGAGTACTACTGGTTTTAAGTGGCCAAGGGACTTTCTGCGGTCGTGAATAATCCAAGTATGGTCTCACGGAAGAATTTACCACTATTAAAAGTGTAAAAAAAAAATTTTTGTTTCTTGCTCTGCAGTTGGACTGATGGTGAAGTCCCCAGTCCTCATCTCCTAGCACAATTAGTAAGACATGCATGTACCGCTGTTTTCTTTTTTCTACAAAATTTTTTTTTTGCATTCTTCCCTCCAACTTGAAGACACTTATTTGTTTTTCTTTAGACCATAGACTTTTTTCTCATTCTCCTCTAAAATTTGTATTGAAACATATCTGAGCACAAACTTATAAAAACTGCTCGCCTCAAGTTATGGTCTGAGCTGCCCATGAGGCAACATGGCTGCAAATTTTGGAGCTGTTTAGAGGGGGCAATTTTTGTGAACAAAAATGGGAATTTTCAAAAGTCTAACCACTTGTGGTTTAGTCAAAATGTCCTTTTGAAAAATACTTCATGGTCTAATACCACTTCTTTTAATTTAGAACATGTTTTAGAGGTGTTGACTGTGTTTTGACGGTACAGTGCATGTTGATGGTGCATTGACATGGTTTATGGTAATTCAAATGACTGAATTATGTAGACTACTGGGGTGTACTTGCAAGAAAAATAACTTTGTTCTTGGTTTGAATTTGAACAATTGCTTGTATAAACCCAATCAAAGTATAAAAATTTGCAGAGAGAGTTTCATATGCAGACAACACTTGATGCCCCTGTTCACAAACCTACGAGACTTGTCTGAAACAAGTGATTTCTACATCTAGTTATAGTTATATTTTTATTAATTGTATAGGCCTACGTTTACAGATATGAAATTCTTGTACTTAAAATCTAACTAAATGCTTCAGAATAATCTTAATTAAATTTAACTTTTCAGAGCAACTCATCACTTTCCGACGGCTGTTATCATGGTTATAACATTTTGAGAGAACATTAGTGTTGTCCTAGTAAGATCACAGAACTCTTGTCAAGTTTGCAACACAGATCAATCATCAAAATCAATGCACATTTTAGTAGTTAATGCAAATCCCAGACAGCCAGCTGTCACTATGATGAACCATATGGCCGCCACTGTCGCCACACCCTGGAAAAATTGATAGCATGAACACATCAGGCCTCTTGTACGTCACATGACGTACGTCACACAACCATGCCCGCAAAATTAACATCCTCCTAGTCGTACACTGTACATGTACACGCAGGCCTGGCCTAACATCAATCAACGACCACAATAAATAGCAATAAATGTCCTTATAATATTTATAGCTCAAATGAGAAGCCTACCTTCCTTATTTACGTTCCGCTCGACAAGAAGACTTTGTGTCTGAGTGTCTGAGAGAAATTTCTTCATACACTCGACGCGTGATTTGTCTGCAAGGGCGTTGTCCAACGCTGGCGAGGCCTCGCCATCCTCCAATAACAAGGGCACGATTTTTCGCAAATACTTCACCAGAGACGGTACCTCTGCAACCGCTTGGGTGCTCTGGCTCTCTGTGTCGCTGTTATCAGCCATGTTTTGACAAGAAATTCAAACAAAAATCAAGTCATTATCGGTGTCTGACGCATGTCACGCCAATCAGGAAAGAAGAGCAGAGCAGAGCTAATGATGCTGATTGTGAACATAAAATCCATGCAGCGAAGGGAGAAAAACTGTGCACGTGAATATTAAGGTATAGACGTCTTACAAGGCGTAAAAATTATTGATCGTCTGAGAGCACCACTTCAAAATTCGGCGTGACTGTTTATTTCTCTGGATTCTGACCTGGGCTACAGAGCACTGTTTTCTCAGCACTGTCTCATTTGGCATGTTTAAGCCCCAATTAAATCAGCAAGAGTTAAAAATGAGACACTGAGGTTGGACAATGTGGACTTAGGCCGATGCTTAGCTGAAGGTCATCGACACAGCTACAGAGACCTACCACAAACTGGTCTCCTGGAGGCGCTTTTCGTTTATACCGTGCGCACGTCTGCACGTAAACATGAAACTTGGGCATATCCTACCCAAATTCTAGATCAATTCATGTCATAGCTCAGTTTGATGATTTCTGATCAGTCTGTTATGCTGGAGTCGATGTTTTGAGGTAAGCATTTATCAATGTTCACATGCAAATCTTCAGAAAGTAAGCCTATGCTATCCTGCCTGTGACCCGCTAGAATTTAAAAATGCCATTATTGCCAGACTAGGCTTACCCCTGACACCCAGAACTGTGGGGTCCAACGTCCGCTCCATCCTACCCCAAAAATTGCGGGGTCCGACGTCCGCTCCTCTCCCACGTGGGAGAGGAGTGGACGTTGGAGCCCACAGTTCTGGGGGGTATTTCCGGACAGCATTTGATTTTAATCTCAGAATGCATCTGATGATGTTGGACACTTGACAATGACCATGATGACACGGTTAACATGGTTGATGACAATCGCCATGCATCTTCAACATGAATCATGATTAATTTAACATGAAAATTAACATGTTCAAATTATAGTTGGTCCTAGTAATTGTCATGATTGTTTAAGATATAATATATCTGATTAATTTGCAATCATGGTTGGCCTAATAGTGGGGATTGTAAATTTGGGGACCCAGTTCATATTATAGAAAGGAGAGTTACATTTTAACTTTTGAAGTGACCTTGGTAGATGACTGTGACATCATGCTCAATAACTGTAGGGCTAATGTTATCAAAAAAGGGTAGGGTTTTGAGTTTTGAGGGAAATTTTGAGGGGAAACTGTGAGAGTTTCGCTCAATTGTAGAATACCTTGCCATCCTGCATGATCAACCTCATAGCCAGGTACAGGCCAAAGTGTCACGTGCTTCTCAAGGGTTTTCACCTTGTACCCACGTAACGTCATTCCAGTCATTTTAGAGTGGCAGGGTATTGTGCAATTACTCCGAGTGTTTTAACAAGTGACACACGGTGAATTCAAATTTGCATGGTTTGTTTATCAGTAAAAAAGTTACATTTTCTCACAATTTACAATTTGACATTTCTAACAAATAGGGTCAGCATATTAGACAGAGAGTTACTTTTCTTTTTTTTGGGGGGGGGGAACTGACTAGTTTTGCAAGATTAAAATGTCAAAAAACTGGGGGGTCCCCAAGTATACAATCCCCCTAGTTGTTGGGTGTAATTGGTCGATATGGTCGATTTGCGTGATTGCTCAATCTTTGTAAGATCTGTCACAAAAATTGCAATGATCATCATTTCATAAATTGCTGATCCACCATCAGGATGATCCAACAGTTGCCTTTTCTGTTTAATTTGACAAAGTGGGAGATTGTTTTTGAAAAGGAAGGAAAGATTGTAAAGTTGGAAATCCCATTTCAGGATTGATCAGTTAATCTTGATGGTACCCATCCAGTGTGATATCACCCAACATCATTCATGCTACAGGATTTAGCATCAACAAGCATCAACACACACAAGCAGGATCAACAAAGCATCAACAACTTGAAAGTACCTTCTACAGATTTAATAGTTTTTAAGAGGGTCTGACATCTGCCACTGTGGAAAAGATTCATGCAGGAAAAACGTACGGTTTTCATGATGTATGGGGGCTGCCATCTGTCTTTTCTCTGCCGTCTATACAAAAACAAGATGACAGCCGGTTTGACTGCCTGAATAGGCCCGACCAGAACTGACTTTTACATTCAAATTTCCATTTTAGATAAATAGTGATTCACTGAATATGATATTCAGAAGCCTAATTAATAGTGTAAATCGTGCACACTTTTGGCATAAATAATGCTTGCATAACTTTTTGATGCTTTGTTGATGCTTATTGATGCTAAATAGTACATGTATGACCCCCCATAAATATCACATTGAAACTGGTGTGGGCGTGGTTTAAACTGAAGTGGCGTCACACTTACGAACCGGATACTTGACGTACTGTGTGGACTCCGCGGGCACGTGCGACGAAGTTCAACACAGAGAGCCTCGGTTTGGATGGAGATATGCGCAGACGGCGCTTATGTGAAATCCCTCTATTCAACAACGTGCAACATTAACATTTGATAATGCCCGCCTTGAAGTGATAATGCCCACTGTGTAAATGACACGCTGGCACCTGGATACAAGATAGTTTAATTGACTCTGATTGGTCAAAGGTTGTGTGCACACAGCTCCACACGCGCACCAAGCCCCTATAAAGAGATTCTTTTGGACAACTTAAGCAAGGAATGTATTATAAAATGGACGGGGTGTTCTTGAAAATGAGAGTAAAATTCTAGAACAAAATCTTTGGAAAACCATCATATACAGGTATTGACCTCTTTTAACTCTCTGACTAAAAAGGTATTTATGAATGGGAATAAATATGTGCTTGGCCAGTCTTAAACACCTAAGTTCACACCCATGCCCTTGCGCACCACTTAGTTGAGATTAAGTGCATGTGCACTTGATCAATTTACTGTGGATTGTGAAGCAAACGCCTTTGGACACCCATTCCAACACTTCTTTCCACAGGTGGAGACCATAATTTATTTTAAAAAAATACAAACAAATAATGTTCAAGGAGAAAATTTGATTACTAAAAATTGATTAGACAACATTAGACCACCGTATTAGATGAACCCAGTTGCTCAAAATTTGAAACAAATTCTGAAAAGTGATTTTAAAATAATAAATCCGACCAGATTTGAAAGAAAATATGTTCACGGTCGTTCCCATCTTCACACTATTTTTCCAAAACAAACAAAATAAAGTGCCATGTGTATTAAGACTAGTAGTACTTTCAAGTTATTGTGGCTTGAATATTTTGCATGAGAATCATTTATAATCGGTATTAGTGCATGTATACATATGTGCATTGATGGAGTGCATGTACATGTAAAACTGAACACACATAAATTATGGCCGTCTATTTATGTACAGAGAGATTGAAGTTGATAAAACTAACGAAGAACGTTTCACAATAGCCGAAACATAACATGGTATCCTCCTTCAAACACTCTTTTAATTACCACGATATGCAGCATGTATGGAAAACTGGAGAACAATTCAAAAATTTGATTTTGAAATACCATTTTGTACTTCCGGAAATGTAACATACAGAGACATCTTTCACCCCATTTTCTCCAAAATGTCACTTATGATTAACAAGAAACACACCACAAAATGAAATCTGAAGTCTGATTATATCTCTCTGGTATATATTTTTACTTCTATGATGGTTTCCTTCAAAGCCTGTTCAGTATCTAGATAATGTATGCATGATCTGCCATGCTGGGGCCTAGTCAACACATTGACCTCATGTAAACTCAGTGTTAAATGTGGCAAAATGTGATCTCCTTAGAAAATCATTGATCATTCGGCCATGATTATGTACATATCTTGGGCATGATCACTTAATCTGTGCATAATCAGTTGATCTGAATGCATGATTTGATGATAATCAGCCATCAGCCACTTGCCATTTGTTTCTAATAAATGGTTGGGAAAGACTGTTTCAAGAAAGGGAAGTAAAGTCAGAGATTTCATACAAATCAGCTGATAGCATAATGCAGTTGTACTGATCAACTAATCATGCCCACACCAACGCACATATATACATGTACATGCATATAAATTTCATGATTGCCCATTGTCAGGATTCATTGCTTGTAAAACAGCAGCTACAGCTACAAACGTCTAGTCAGGATGATGGAGGCAGAGATTATCCCTCATGGTTCATCGTATAAAATAAACAGGTCTGCAACAAATGAAGGAGTTACAGCAACACAGACTTTTACTCCAAGGCAGTATCAGGTAAGTGTGATCTCATCTAGGCTTTTTTCTCAAGCCATTCAAACTATCCTCCCAGAAACTAAAACAATTGTTTAAGAAATAAAAGCGGTGTTTTTCTTGCTCTACTGAGTCTTGAAGCTGTTCCTAACAGGACCTGAACATTGCATAGATGAATCTCATGCTTTCCAGGCGGTACTACTCGGTATCTCAAGTTTTTCATATGCAGGTCCTCATCTTTGGAGTGAACTACAGTACTATATTCATTCTATCCCTTCAGTCTCTGAGTTCAAAGTTGCCTTGAAAACTCACTTCTTTGTTAACTGCTATTGAATTTCTTATCAGTTTATGTTTTGGTTTTCCTGATTGTACTGCACCATGAGTGTCTCTTTGGGTTGAAACCGGTGCATTATAAATATCCATTTTTATTTTTATTTTGTTAAATATTCAAAGTAGTTTAGCTGAATAGGCCTTCGTAACTAGTTTTAATCAAATCAAAAATGACTCGAAAGTTTGAAGGTATTTGGGGTGCAGGTATGTTATGGGAAGGATGGTGAAATGTTTGAAACCTTCCCCAGGTGTAGTTTCTAAATTAGTAATATTAGAATCATTACCCCATGCAGACCTCAGTGAATTTACGATACACAGCTTTTAAAATTAATCTTTTATCCTCCTTTCGACATTTAAAATTTGAAAATGTTTTGAAAGACAAAATTTAAATAGCAGCATATGAGTGACTGTCAAATTGTTGCATGTTTGTATGCTGTCATCACATAGACTGGAAATGTAGTGTCCCCGAATTTTCAAGGGCAGTGATTTGATAAGGCTACGAGGAACCCTAATGCTGCAGGTAGCTCGAAAAAAGCTGAGGAAAAGACAAGTGACAGACTTGGAAAAGGTGGAGGTTGTGAAGAACTAAGAACTCATTTCCTGTGACTTTACAGCAGCATCAACTATTCATTTTTGGTTTGTTTGCTTTTTGGTATGTTCCTTGTATTTGCATACTAGAACATAATCTGCTTCAAATAATGATGTCGCTTAATTGACAAATAGAAATGTGACTTGGTGAATTCAAGCAAAAATACACCCCAAGGTTGGAAAATAAAGAAATAAGAAGCAAAATGCTTTACTTAAACTGACTTTTGTCCACTTTTATTCTGCACCATTTCTGATTTTCTTCACAGTACCCTGTTTTCAAGAAATGTTATCATTCACTGCACTCAGGGGTCATGTATTTGCCCCTCATGTCGGCTTAGGGAGGGGATGCTGTGCACACTTTTCAAAAATATTAAACTGCTGATAATATTTTTAGCAAAAAATCTTCACCTTTATCCTTTTCAGTTTTTATGCATGAGGGTTCCCCAAAATAATATTTTCAATTTGCTTTTGAAAGCTGCTGAAAAAAATAGAGGGCCTGTATGAAATTTGTTGTCCAGCATGTCAAGCACAAAGGATGCATTGTATTGATACATTCGTTGGGAACAAGTAATCTTGAAGGGATCATACAATTTTCTTCATGATTACATGTCATGTTTGTCAGGGCAGCCAGCAGACAATTGGCCGTCATCATTTTCTTCCACGTTTTTGGGAGATTAGAGGTCAGATGAAGGTTGTAAATGAGAAAGGCAAAAATGGATGATCCCCTCTCTGATAAGTACATTAAACAATACCAGTGACCGCTGCTACGATTGAGCTGTCAAATGCCTTCACAAAAAGGGGGAGGTTAATTATTTTAATGCAGCACGGATGCTAATGTAATTATCGAAGTTTTTTCCTGTTGCAAACCTTCACCTCCTTTTGTTTATTTGGTATTTTTTCCCCTGTGAAATACTGGAGTAAGGTGTCTGTTTGCCTTTTGTTGTTGTCAAAGCTCAATGCCAAAAGAAGTTAATGAGTATTTTCGTAACAGATATTAACAGCCACCATATTGCCATGGTGGAAGATCCTAAACACGTCAGTCAATATTCATTTCATTTGGTTGGATGAATCAATCATGGACGCATACTCGTGTGTCCTAAGGCTTGCTCTATGGTACAATCGATCATCTAGGGGTGATATTTCTCAGCTTTTTAGTTGATTTCAGCTTTTTTGTTTTGGATTTCAGCTTTTTTCCCCTCACTGTCTGTGTATGAAAGTGTTGGAGATTTTTACACTTAAGCTTATTTATGTCTTTTTCAGCTATTTTTATCATTGGTCAACCTCACCCCAAATAATCGATACACATGTATTTGTTGAGTGGGTCCGTGTACGTTCATTTGTTTTCCGATTTAAAAAACGAAAAATGAAAATCGTTCTTTAATTTAAAAACGGGACATTGAAAACGGAGAAACAAGTCGTTTCTCTTCTTTCATTTAAAAATGGAAGACGACAATCACGTTCTGTTTTCGTTTTTCAACGTGAAAACGAATAACATCGTAATACATTGATCTACTATTTTGAAGAATGAAAAACAGCCTTTGTAAAGTAAGGGACATCGTAGTAACCCACCAAATCAATCATGATTGAAGTGAAGAAATACGAGGAATCCGTTCCTAATTTCTCGTATTTTCAAGGCAACTTTTCTTTTGAGAAGTACTCAGAGACGGCCGTGACGCCTTCTCGACATTACGTGTGCAGTCAAACGAAACTTGGGATTAAACTACAATTGTAAACAAGATTACTTTCGTTTTTCGTTTTTAACATGTAAAACATGAAACGACTTCTTCGTATTTTTTCCTCATTTTTTGTTGTCAAATTGAAAAACAGAAAACGACTTATTTTTGTTTTGGGTTTTCGTTTTTATCGAAGAATGGATAACGACTTGCTTTTTGGTTGTTTGATATTCGTTTTCAAATCGAAAAACGAATGAACGAAACGTACACGGACTTGAGTGCCCTTCTGATTCGATTTGATTTGATTTATTCTCCTTTCCATATACAATAAAATAATAAAAAGAACAAATCTATATGCACTAATAAGTAGATATCAATAAAAAAATGAATATACAATGAAATTAAGATGTCAAGACTACGGCTGCATAATACAAAACAAAAAACATTGTGGAAAGAGCCGGGATGACGCAACTTGTAAAAACTTATTTTCATTGCGGCCCAAACATTCCCTGTCTCATCTCATCCCTATCTTATCAGACGGGATTATTACTGGTGAAATTTGAAGTCACACAGTTAATGAGTGGGGGATTATGATTCGACTTTATTTTATACAAATCACATAGGCTACGTACTTTATCCGAAGGGCGCGCGCAGTCTGCAAGACTACTGAGAACAGTGGATGTGACAAATCACGCTGGCCGATAGCGCCCACATATGCACGCAGCTGGCAGCACGTGCAGGAAATGTGAAAAGTTTTATTATGAAATTCACTAGTCTATGTAATTAACGCATTTTTACAGAGCAACGCGCGCTGATGACTGGTGCACGCTGCGCGTGATTAATGTGACAGTTATTTGTCAGCCTCGAGAGAAGTCTAGTCTTCACTCCACATATTTGCGCCTGCGCAGTTGGGGAGTAGTCGTTTGACGATTTCATTTCGTGCACAGTCCATGGACAGTAATAATTTTACAAATTTTAAATGAAAAATCTAAATTCAAAGGAAGAAAACAATCCTAATAACAATACATAACCATATTCGAACATTCAATTTATGCTTATACGTTACCAAAATGTACAATTATTCATCTCGAATAAAAACCTCGAGGAAAACCGGTCGCGTTGGTGGTATAGAGGTTAGAATAGTTGCCTTCCAAGCAATTGACCCGGGTTCGATTCCCGGCCAACGCATGGTTTTTTGGGGGGGCATGTTTGAATTTCTGAGATATACGAATGGGGGCTGCTGTGGATCTTTGTTAATTTTTCTTTAAATTCCCTTTTTTCCTTTGAATTGCAGAGGTAAATGAGCCTGTAGTTTCTTTTTCTTTGGCATCTATTTTTCTTCATTTTCTTCACTTTGGCCTTATCTTGAATTCATAATTGCATTAATAATTTATGAATGTTTCCTATAGGGACTACATTAAGCTTTTTGTCTTACTTAGTTCTTTGATTATAGTATAGTGTAGATTCTTTAGGGGGGTGTACAGAAATAAAACTTTGAAGTTCTCTGTTGATTGAAGTTCCCCTTCTGGAGAAAATGAGGAATCATCCGTTAGATGTATTATGATACCAAAATGGCATTTGTTAGAGTTTCATTGAAGCATAGTATTTCCCCCAAAAATGCCTGTTACTTTCTCATAAGTTACAAACTTTCCAAATATTGATACAAGAAACAGCCCAAGTATATGCATCTACATTTCATAATTATTTTGAGTGTTTATTTCTGATCATAAGTGCATTATTATGAGCCTTATAAAAACAAACAATTAACCCAATATAAAGACAGTGTTAATCAGCTTTTGTGTTTTATGTAGTTGCGTAAATTGTTTTCCAGGAAATGCTATGGATAAAGAAAAACTTGTATGTCATTTACTATCCACAGTTTTACTTTTAGCTCAAACATCAATTTCCTGTAAATGAAAATGCATTCCCCATTTTGAAGAAAACTTAAAATTTGTTATTATTGTTTGACCATTGCAACGAACCCCTGAAAGGAAGTTAGTGTTAGCACTGAAAGTGTACTCAAAGATAAAGAAAAATAGATTGGATTAATTTGATAATGATCTATTACACGCATCCAATATAAAGTGACATTAACATTACATAACATTAGAAATTATAAAATATTTGTCAGCAGTTTTCAGTATGGACTTACAGGAGCCTTGTTTCAGCCTCGTGTATTTTAGCCTTCTATCAGTTAAAACCAGTACCATTTGTGATTGTGATTCCCATTTTCCACTGCAGTCTCGATGCATTGCTAAGAAAGAAAACCTCTCTTAAATCTAAAATAAACCATTTTGTCTGCCCTTAAATGCTGTATAACTATCCAAGTTTCCTAAATACAGAAATTGAGCTTTTATAGCCTGTCGATATACACTGCAGCTACCACAAGGATCTTGATTCATCTTGTATTTGTAACCCCTGGCCGCCATCTTTTCATGCTTTCTGATTGGTATGATCCCAAAGGTAGCCTACACATATCAGTGCAAGCTTTAAGGCATAAAATTGTCAGGCCATTGTTGTGGTGGTCAACACATTGTTAAGGCCCTTGCTGCAAAGCATGGTCTGTTTAAGACTTAGGCAGTTAGAAACAAAAAGTACACAAATACTTTACTTCAATTGAGACAATAATGCAAAGATGACAATATTCATTTATATAATATATTAATTTATTGTGCAATAAAATTTAATACTTTACAGACGATATTGAAAGTATGTGAGGTTACTGTTGCATGTCAATAATAAGATATTAAAATAATATTAAGAAATGTTTTAACGGGAAACAAAAAAACATGAAGTGAAATCTTGACCATTCTATTTTGTGAGGCAAAGCCAAGTGTCCTTGAAAGGCCAAACGTCAGGCAGTGGTTATATTCTGCAACAGTGCAAACAAATGCAGGCAATACTTTTCTTCGTAACTGACATACGGATCCATGTCATTTGAAACTTTTTCAGAAAATACAAGAAGTAGACGCTGTTCCTCATCCATCAACATCCTAAAAAACTAAAAGCTAAAAACTCAAAACAAAAAGCCGATTATTTTAAAAACCACAAAAATGGAAAACCTCAAAAACTTCAATAAGTCCATTTAGATAAAACCTTTACCATTACGACACGACCGGGCCTTATTTGAGAAACAGCTTGGGAATGATTATTTTTGGACTGACACATCATTATGCACAAATCAATGCAATCATTGAATGGCATCAAGCCATATTGCCTCATAGCTCATACTGCTTCTGTACAGTGTACTTGAGAAGCTGTCTCTCAACAGTTCCACAGCATTATCCATTACATCAAAGCCCAGTCCTTGGATGGCAGTGTCCCTGATTTGTGTAAGAGAGCAAGGCCTGAAAATAACTGTCCATCAACAGGTGGCTATCCATCCTTGATAAGGAAGGTGATCAGGAACTGGAGCTCTAAATTCTTTCTTTGTGGTGTTGGAGCCCAAGAAGAATCCAGGGCCCCTAAATCCTGTGTAACATTTTTTGTCAGTTGATGAAGACTAAGAATGTAAGCTGGAAAATCAGAAAATAGATAAATCCTGTGAGAAAATGCAACACACAGAAGGCTGTGACATAACCAGAGGGGGCAGTGGACCACCCCCACTCAGAACCCTGAGGGCAGACTGGCAATTGGGCACTGGTATGGAGAACAGAACATTCCAGGGTAGGCTGCCTCTGTTGAATAAAATATGGGCCGCTGGGCTTGATAAATTTACTGTTGAAAAAAGTTATCTTGGAAAATTTCTTCCTCCATTCCCCTGAAATATCAAAAGTTTTCCTCTGACACCTCATTATAATTAGTGAGCAGTGGTTGCCTGTGCTGTTTTAATTAAGACCCAGTCTGCAACTGCAAAACCCTCCCCCTTGCCCTAAGTGAGATTTCGAAAATGATAAAACGGATCACCCAGCCTACAGCCCCCCATCTTGGTAAACAAATAAAAGGTTTGCATACAAGTTATCATCTAGCTATGATATCATGAGATGCAAGATGTCAGGATTTAGTTCACTGTAGTTACTAGTACTTCAGGAATGGGATGCACTTGCCATTAATTGTGAAAAACCAATCAGACTTGATAATAGGTGGGACCTGTCAACTACAAGGTCATACAGTAGTATCTTACTTTGCAGACCTGATCAGGAAAGAGTTCCATACACAGATATATTGTGCACAAATCTAGGGCACTTGCCTGAAAAATTCAGGTGTTTTTGAAGTAAATGCTTTCGTATTGTACTAAATTTGACTTTAAGGACGTTATCACTTCTGATAGCTAGTAAACCACAAGGGAAGATTAATGAGGTGTGGATATGGAACTCTTACCCTTGATTAGTTGAGCATACAAATATAGTCTATAGGAAACATTTGCTCAATTTCACGTTACAGGCGTGTACACCACGAACATGACGAAATAATCTGCCTTTCCTTTCATGGAGTGGATGACAACATTTCCACTCAACACTCAAATCAGATGCAGAGACTTTCCGCATTTGCAGATGGCTTCGTATATTGATTGTACACTGACGGAGATGCACTCTATGTTTCTTGAGGATATGACTAGTAGGAGCGATAAACGTACTGTACAAAACCCAGGCTGCATTCACTAGCTTTGCATGCAGTGCTCATCAACTTTAAATCACATTGTCATGATTGTAAGCCTGCAAGCCGCACTAAACCAGCTATGTGATAGCGCCCTCTTTTGATACTGAGTACGGGTGATTGTGTCTGTGGTGCAACCTGAGTGGGCAGCAACCTGGTGGTACACATTTCCAACACTTATTGATATATTTACTCCAAGGGTTTTATGTGAGGTCTGCAAAAAGTAGGTTTTTGCTAGGTTATAAAAACAATCTACTCCAAAATGTGAATTAAAGGGAAGGAATTGCCTTCAGAACTGTCTAACTTAGGGTGATCTCAAATTGAAGATTTTTTCCTTTTTGTTGACCATTAGAAAACAAAAGCGGGAAGAGCTGACAAATATTTATTTTTATTATTGTAGATGCATATCTAAACCATATTTTAGCCAAGTTTTGTTACCGTCAGCCCTGCACGAATTAAGTTATGGTCTGACACGTAAATGACTCTTTTTCTCCACAGAGTTGACACATGTTTTTCTAATGCCTTGATATCTGCAGTGAATTATTGCACATCAACCATTTTTATTTCATCACACAGAAGAGAATGAGCTCTTTCTTTTGACATATAATTTGATAATAAGCGATACAATTTAAGAGTACAAATGTGGCTGTAATTATACACTAAATAACACCCCAGAACTGTACCCTTTTTGCTGAGAATTACTGGTGCCCTGTACTCAGCCATTGTGGTATTATAGATAGAGTTACCCCACCTGGTGATATCATGCTGGGTGGGGATCAAATAGTCAAGATTTGAACTCAAAGTGCTGACCCCCCATGCCTTGTCGAATTTTTAAGTTCTTGCATGGTCTTTTTGTGAACTAACACTTAACAAATGAAGGTTTTTGTTCCATATTTTGTTTATTTCTGCTCTTTTTTTCAGCAGGTTCTTCTTATAATTTGTATATAATTTTTATCCACGCTAAGGTTGAATTGCTAGATGCTGCATTGGATCACAACTCAGTTATCTGTCTTCAGACGGATACCAGCAAAACATTCATTGCTGTGATGTTGATGAAGGAGCTGTCAAAGGCCCTACGCTTGCCCTTGCAGGAAGGCGGCAAGAGAATGATGTATCTTGTGAACGATGGTAGGAACTAAAATTTTTCTTGTCTCACATGATAAGAGTATCAGAAAATCAATTTTTGTTGTCAGAGTGAGGATTGGGTTGATCTTATAGTTTATGTCATTTCATATGTTCCTTCATATTTTCAGACTTTACCAACTTTTTCTTGAATATGTACCATTGAAATTGAATAAAAATCACAAATACAGTCACATGTATAAATAAACTTATCAAATAGTGGCTGTTGGTTCAACAAGGTTATCTTTATATAATTTTCTCTGAACATATTGAACCGATTTCAAACTAGGAAAAGGTTTATTTGAAACAGTTGGAGAAAACTTTGGATCTTAGCAATGTAGATTTTGTGATGCATCCATGGGGGTAAGTTCAAATAAATGTTTATAGTATCAGCTGTGTAAAATGTGAAAGACTAAATAAAAAGTGGGAGAAAAACTTGTGTAGTTTTAAAGTGGGTATTGAGTTGGGCTGGTATTGGGATCTCACCTTTGCCTGTATAACCTGGGTGTACGTCTCACCAAAATTGACACCTGGATAGGTTTGTGTTTCCCCCTTGGTTCCAGTGGTTTTCTTGGAGTACTAGTTTTCCTGTCACCACTGAAACAACTTTGCCCTGTTGGCAATTTTTGTTAAAAAGAAAGTATGAAAGATATGACGGATAAAAAATGATAACAATAAATACAACCATTAAAGAAGTTAAACCTTAACAATCCCTTTTAATCATTGCTGTCTATACAGTGAGCACCGTTCTGCAACAAGCTAGTGTCATCCGGGAACACACGGATCTATCTATTGGGGAATTTATAAGTTGTTCGTCTGTTGATGATCACTTCAGTGTGGCAGAGTGGAAACAAAAGTTTGTCCTGTGCCAAGTAATCATCACAACAGCCAAGGTATTCTTAAAAGTACTTGAAGCCAGATTGGTATGTCCTTCTCAGCTCAATTTGTTGATATTTGATGAGTGCCACCTTGCCACTGACAAACACCCTTATTGTGAGATAACGAGGACTCTTAGCGAACGGACTGATTTGTCTTGCCTTCCTCGTATCATGGGGATGACTGCCTCCATTCTTCACAGCAAATGTGAGCCGGAGACTTTGGAAAAGAAACTCAAAGCGCTTGAGCAAACTCTGAAGAGTGTTGTGGAGACATACTCCAGCGGCTGCCTTACTAGGTTTTGTGCTAAACCCAAAGAAGCAATTGTCGCCTGTAAGGTGGAAGAAGGGTTCAAGAATATAAGCAAGCTGGTGCATAATGTTTTAAATGAATCGTTACTCTTCATGCAAGAGTGCAGTGTGCAATATAATGCAGTAGAAGGTGATCCTTTGATGCCTGTGGAGCGGGCAATCAGAGAATGCCTCATGACCTTTGAAGCCATAGGTCCATTAGGATTAAGGATAATGGTTCCAATGCTGTTGAAGAAGCTTCAGAGAATTGAAAAGCGTGCATCAAATTCCCTGAGTAAGCTCATACTCCATTACGGTTGTACTCAGCTTCGCTTGGCAAGAAAGATTTGTGAAAGTTCCATCGTGGAACTAGAGGATCCACTTGATTTGAGACTGACAACTCCAAAGGTACGTCGCCTTCTTGAAGTACTGAAAGAATTTCAACCAAGTGAGGAATCAGAGGCTGGCTTTGAAATCCAGGAAACTGTGAGGCGTCCTAACAGAACATTAGGGGGTGGAATTTTGCATAAAATGCATAATGAGAGGTTGACGAGTAACAGACTACATCCCGTATACAGCTATGATGATGAGGAGGAGAGCAATTCAGATGACGAAGACCATGACAAGGAAGAAAATACCGATGCACAGGGTGAAACCAACATGTATGGCATTGTCCTTGTGAATCGCCATTTCCTAGCATTAGTCCTGGACAAATTGGTGCACAAACTACAAAGGAAGGATCCTGTATTGGCATTCATCAACAGCAGCTGCATTGTTGGTCATCACCAGGGAGGTGTAGAGGTGTTGGGTGTGACAAAGGAACAGCAGTTTAAGAAACAAGAGGAAATCTTAAGGAGGTTCCGACGACATGAGATAAACTTGCTGTTTGCTACAAGTGCACTTGAGGAAGGTAAGACTGTAGAGAAGTACACTATGAAGCCTGCTAGGTTTCACCATGTTCTGCATACCCATGTTTGTTCCTTTGTAAGGATGTTTGTGGCAAAATGACAATTTCTTGCATTCATTAAGTACATTGAAGAATGACAGTCAGTGTGTTTTACACGTATGTAAATTTGGACAACTTCTGTGATAATTTACCTTACATTCTGCATACATGTACTTTAAAATGCATGCACATGGGGAGAGAGTTCCATATTTTTAAAAGTTACAATGTTACTAAAGCCTATTGTTCTGCGCTGTGTGTTCTTTCTTTGGTGATTCTTTTAATCTTTCATGTTTACCAGGTGTCGATGTTCCCAGGTGTAACTTGGTGATTCGCTTTGATGTTCCTGATCACTATCGGTCCTATGTCCTTTCCAAGGGGCGTGCTCGGGCACCCAACTCACATTACATTATGTTGGTTGAAGAAGCAAATCTGGAGCCATTCACTAGGGAGCTTGGTAACTTTCAGGAAATTGATAAGGTGAGACCTTGCTCTCAGCTGAAACCATAACAGTTTTGTCAAAAAGAAAAAGAAATCAGAATAGTAGGTTATACATTGCTCACTTGAAAGTGTGTGGCATTTTCTTGAACAAAAAAAGGGAAAAAATATGCGATACATGTATTTCTTGAAGAGTGCTTAGGAACTGACCGTGGTATAAAGCCTTTGACACTTACCTCAGTATCTCCCAGCTACAGATTCAAAATCTGAAATCCACTGTTTGCAACCTATAAATTATGCAGTCATCTGTTACTACAAGGATTTAGATTCTGTATGTACCCATGCATGTGAACATCAGTTCTCTAGCTATCTAGCAGTCAATGTTTCAGGTTGGTGCAGTGGTTTTTTACACACCTCTGTGGTCTGAGATTGATTTCCCGGTCTTTCCACATGTGCAGTAAATGTGCTCATTCAAAAAGTTTGAACTAAATTTCAAATATTATTCCAATTTGTCTTTATTATTCAGTATTCATTATTCCAATATTTTTATTCAATTATTTTGGAATAAAGCTGGAGTATACAGACATTTGATGGTAAAAGCACAAAGGTAATATTCAGGGTTGGGAGAATTCAGCTTCTTAAGCTGATTTAAGCTTTTTTGGTTAGATGTTGACCCAGAATTTCAGCTTTTTTTTACACCTGGTCTGTACAAAAGTATGGGAACTTTTCACATTTCAGCTTTTTGCTAGCTTTTTTCAGCTGTAATTTTAAGTGGCCACTCACACCTCTGAATATTACAAACTAAATGTAAGACTTCAGACACTCCCAGCGTTGTAAAATTTATGTTTTAAGGAGAAAAGTACGTGGACAGTACTCAGCTGAGTGCTTTTCGAGTAATTTTGTCCCCAAAACATATTTCTTTTATTAAACAATGATAGTCTGAGGTCATCAAATTACTATGTAATCTTGCCTTTGTGCATGTACCATCAAATGCCATGTTCTTTGGTTTTGTTTCCTCCTAACTAGTTAAATATTTGGCAGAGAACTGCTGTAGGTACTTGGAAAGTTCTTGAATAAAACACTGTTTGAAATGTGCCTTCACTTTGGTCTTATCCCTTGCACTTGCAGTTCTTGTATAGTTTGCACACAAGTGGTTTCCCGGGGCAATGACATTATAGTGTTATTTTAAACTCCAGATCCTACAAAGGAAATGTCACCATAGAGAGCAGCAGTGTTGGGATGAAACAGATCTCCAGGAGGCAGATTCTCTTTGTGCTCCATACAGACCAAACAAGGCAGAAGATGCTGGCATGGTAACCATGACAACAGCCATCTCACTTGTCAATAGGTTGGTCACTGGCAAGCAAAGAATTTGGATGATTACATTCAGTTTAACTAACACTATGTGAGTGGACGGAAGAAAAGTGCAATTGGGCCTGGACTTGCACTTTGCTAGGGATTTTGATATGTAATAGTGAAGTTATACAGATCTGACTTTGAACCGTTTCAATTTATCACAGATATTGTTCTAAGCTTCCTAGTGACACCTTCACTCATCTCTCTCCTAAGTGCCACACAGCCCCCATGCACACTGGTACAGGCCCTGTAATGTACCAATCACAGATATTCCTACCGATCAACTCACCTATTCGGGATCCCATCCAGGTGAGGTTAGGGAGGTTAGCTGTATTTTGTTTCTGCCCCATGAAAATTAAGTCACTCCAATTTCTAACCTGAATATTTTGTGTTACACTAACTTCTCAAGTAGTTAAAAAGGACAGTTGAACTGTTGTTCCTTGTTCAGAACAAATTCATGGTTTCTTCCAAGTGTTTACTTTGCCAAAAGTCTGGAAATAGTGTGAGGGGTCATGAAAATGAATTCAAGCACTCTAAGTTCAAATAGTTGAATTGTCAGCCTCATGCATTATATGTCCACTTTTATTTAGCGGTCCAATTTCAAATGAGTTATTCCTCATCTTTTTACTCAATTGTATAATCACTGTACAACTATACACGTCTAGGGCCCTCCAATGCCAAAGAGGAAGTTAGCTGAAATGGCTGCTGCGTTAAAGACATGTGAAACACTTCACAAAGCTGGTAAGCTTCAAGTTCAATATGTTGAAAGTTATTTAAATATAGATTTGAAATTAGTTTAATATGTGGCATTCACCTGAGAATGGACATATAATGTGAGATATTGCACAAGTTTTTTCTCAAAGTGTGAGTTAATGTGAATTAACAATCCATGTGAAAAGTGATTTTTTACATGGATGGAACCCATCACCAAAAGTAGCCTTTAATTTAAAACAACCATTTGCTCCATGTTGAATGGAAGCTAACACAGGTCATAACTTGGCTTATTTAACACCACAATTCCACCAGATCCTTCAACTACCTGTACTTAACAATGACCCTCATGTTCCACTCTGCATTTCTTTTAGGGGAGCTTGATGACAATCTTCTCCCAGTGGGAAAGGACACTGTGCTCCTGTTAGAAGATTTTGGCTATGAGCAGGAGGTGGTTGAGGAGGGGCAGGGTAGACCAGGAACAACAAAGAGACGACAGTACTATAACAAAGAGGTAGCCCGTTAACCTTGCCCTATCCCAGTGGATTTGACATTTCTGCATATATATACACATGAAGTCACCCTGACCACATGCCAGCCATGTAGCCATGTGGCAGGCTGAGGTGGCATGCACTATGATGTAATGAGGTACATATAGTGGAAACAGGTGTTTAAATAAAGGGAAAGAAGAGATGGCTGTGGTCAAGGCCAGGAGAACTCGAATGTAAGGTTCCACTTTTGAACCAAGAATTAATTAAAAGTGCTAAATTTAAACCAGAAATGATATCAGCACTTTAATTAATGTAGTCCTGTAATGGATACTTAGCTTATATTTTAAGACACTGTCACCTTTGTTTATCGCAAATGATGGACTAATTATAGGCAGTTGGTCAGGTTGCTTATGGTATGCTGCCATCTCTGCCCTCACAGGTTGCAATGTGTCTGAAAAGTTGCCACCCTTCGATCAATCAACCATGCCATCTTTATGAGATCCACATGTCCCTTGCCTCTCCGTTGCCAGAGGTACTGAATGTGCGTGATCGAAAGTTGCATGTCCCAGAGGAGACCACACAATGCTTTGGAATACTCACCACGAAGATCATTCCCAAGGTTGGCTTTTTTGTGTTTGTTTTTCATGCTGAATTAATTATTGATTTTTTTACATACTAACTAATGCCCATTAGTTTTAGTTGCAATATTCACTGATGAAGTGTTCTCCTCTGGAATCTGAGATAGCTGAAAATTTACTTCTTGTAAAATTTATTTTTGGTCAACTTCAAATTCATTCATTTGACCTGAATGAAGAATTGGTATTTTATGGATGCTTAATATCCACAGCACTTTAATTATTGTTCATATGGACATGTACATGTATAGCCTGTTCAGACCCTCTTCTTGACAGTTCTACCAAGAATTGTACATGGAATATACATTTAAGTGTTGGCTTCTGCCTTGAGATTCATCTAGGATGAGATGTCTGCATGCCCACTCTCGGGAACGATTCTGGCTTGCTGTCCAATCTCAGCCAAATTGGTCAGAGTGGTACTCTCTGCACTGGTACTGTCTGAGCCCATGGTTCTGTTGTGTCCAATATTTTGGGACAAATAAATAATTGAGATTTATCCATCACTTGAAAAGATTTAGGTTACAGGGCAGGGGGGTTAAAGTTTGTATATAGAAAACCTTACTGTCCAAAATCATTTGTGACTTTTCTCCCTTTTATTTTTCCTCTTTTCTTTAATTTTTTAAAACTTTATCAGTGCAAAGAATACAGGGCAGTGACAGATTAAAATCATATTTGCATAAACAGGCGTTTATTAATATTCCTCAACTTATCATTATTGGATGTTTTTGCTTATTAGTGCCGTGAGCGCTGTTCGCGGCGGATACTGGCGCCCTATAAATGTTCATTATTATTATTATTATGATTCATTCTTTTCTCCATCCCATGCTTGTGGGGATATACCCCACTCCCTAGATTTACATTCTTGGCTCATTTCAAGTTACAGTGCATAGGTTTCTTTGTTTTTGTTCTTATTGGCAATTTTTATCCATCCTATTGTGCAGATACCAGGTTTTCCAGTCTACACACGAGCAGGTGAGTTGGTCATATCAGTGGATCTGTTGACCTCTGACATCACAGTGACCTCTGACCAGTTGAACCAATTGCAGCGATTTCACAGCTGCATCTTTGCTGAGGTCCTGCGGCTGGAGAAACCTAACCTGGAATTTGACACTGAGAAGGCTGAAGCCAACTACCTCATAGCACCTCTCAACAAAAGTGAGTAACACAGGGACTATTTGGAGCATTTGAAATTGGGGGTTGGTAACTGCACCAGTAAATGCTACTAAACCACCAGCTCTGTGCTCTGCACCACGATTTGAACAAATATTTGGGCATGGGCAATAAGATTGGAAGCTTTGCATGGCAAAAGACTGACTGAATAAATAATTTGGCAAGTCTGCATGAAAATGGAGCAGAGATTGTTTTGAGAAGATCAAAATTTAACTCAGCATTTATAATGAAATGGTAAAATAGTTTTATTACACTGTACAACGTGTCCTGACAAAAGTGCTGCAAGCAAATACTGTCCTTTTAAATTGTCATCTGGTACTAATTATTACTTACAAATTTAAAAATTGATCGTTGCTTTTGCCAATCTAGAGATATGACCCAGTATACACAAGCATTCAAAACTGAGTTTTCACCACCTTGTTGTCTGATCACTGGACCAATTTGAAATTTAAAAAATGCACATTTTATCTCAAGTGAGACGCTGGGAGCTCTGTGCACTGAAACATGCTGTGGAGTAGCTTTTTTTCTGAAAGTGGTACAAAATCAAGTTGGAGTGCTTCTGTTTACTGGGTCATCTCTGGATTGCCAAAAGCAAATAAGATGAAATAACAAGCGCCCTCAATCCAAGAGCGCCTCTTTAAAGTCATGAAAGTTATAAATACCATCAGTTCATGTTTTATACTCAAAATGGAGAGGATTTGTTTGCACTTTTTGGGGGTACACAGTATTAAATAAAATTCTATGCAGTCATGACAGTAGATGTGTATTTTTGTTGAAAGTATTACATGTTTTTACATTTGTTCTTCTCCAAGGTGATGAAGATCAGAAGCTCCACATTGACTGGAACTTTTTAAAAACTGTCAGTGAAAGTTCTGGGATGCTAGACAGGCCACCAATTCTTCCGGACTACAGTAGAAATCAGTTTGTCTTTAGTCACGAAGCCTTCGCCGATGCTGTGGTGACACCAATCTATCGTAACATTGACCAGCCCCAGAGGTACTACATTGCTGATATTTTGAACAATCTTCCAGTGACAAGTCCATTCCCTTCGGAGAAGTATGAGAAGTTCATTGACTATTACTTTGAACGGTATGACATCCAGTTGTCCAACTACCAGCAGCCTCTGCTGGATGTTGATTGCATGTCATCCAGGCTGAACCTACTGACCCCAAGATACCTGAATCACAAGGGGAAAGCCTTGCCGATCAGCAAGACACAGAGCAAGAAAAACTACCTCCAGAAAAAGCAATATCTGGTACCAGAGCTCTGCTACATCTACCCTATTCCAGCGTCGCTCTGGAGGAAAGCAGTCTGTTTACCCAGCATCCTATACAGGCTGAATTCATTGCTTGTGGCTGAGGAATTGCGTGTACAGATCAGCATGGGGGCAGGAGTTGGAGTGGCAGAGCTGCCACCTGACGTGTACCCGTTTGCTAACATGACCTTTGGCTGGGAGGGACTGGAATTGCAGAACCTTGAAAATCAGAACAAGCAACCTGGAGAAGCAAAGGATGGTAGCACAGTGGAAAGAACAGGTGGCAGTCCCAAAGGAACTGAGACCAAGCAAGAGAAGAATGAGAATTCAAAGTTGAAAGAAAGAACGAGTTGCTGTTTGGATACAGAAAGCTTGGGTGAAGCTGGAAACATCACATTACTGAAGAAAATGAATGGTGAAGTCAAGGGGCAGAAATACCTTGACCACAGCACTGTTGGCTTAAACAGTAAGACAGTGACAGGAACTGAGCAGGATGCAATAGCTAAAGAGATGTGCAGTAGAGAAGGTCATAATGATGGCTTCAAATCCACAATACCTCCTGAGTTAAATTCAAGCAATCTAGAGAAGACAGACAAAGCAAAAGTGAACTTGAAAAGTGAGGGTGCACTTGTAAGACACCACAAACTTGAAGTGAGCCCTGCAAGCAGTCGTGAGAAAATGGCATGTGCCAGTTCTCCAAGTGAAGGATATTGCAGATGCTTGCAAGAGAGAAATCAGAATGAATTTGATGAGGCTTCAAGGGGCAGAGGAGGCTACACATTGAAGCTCAGTGTTTTAGATGATCAAGGTCATGATCCAGCCAGTCTGCCAGGTCCCAGCCCCACTACCATCCTCCAGTCCCTGACTATGTCCAACTCCAGTGATGGGTTCAACCTAGAGAGGCTAGAGATGCTGGGAGACTCTTTCCTCAAACAAGCTGTCACCATCTACCTGTATTGCACTTATCCCCGGCGCCACGAGGGCAAGTTGAGCTACATGCGCAGCAAGCAGGTCAGCAACTTTAATCTGTACCGTCTTGGCAAGGGAAAGGCCATCGGGCAGAAAATGCAGGTTGCTCTCTTTGATCCTGCAATCAACTGGCTGGCTCCGTGCTTCTCTGTCAAGGAGAATGCTCCTACTGAAGAACAGCCATCATATAAGTCTTACCAGAAAGAGGGTAGTGACTTATCTTCAGATGATGGGGATTTTGCCATCGACACGTGGGACCCAAGCAGTGTGGATATGTGGGACTCCAATGCAGTCATTGAGGAGGAGACAGCACCTGATTTTGAAATACCCATGATGACTAAAGAAGACATGGATAGTGATTTCAGTGATGAGGATCCCACTTACCAGTATCCAGATAGGAGCTTTCGCTCTCTAGACCCTTGGACCTTCTCCCTGGAGGATGCAGATAACCTCCCTGGCTTGACATACACTGGCAGAAAGCCGGACGACATGGGAGACCTTCCTGAGCTACCTTATGAAATTCACACCCAGCACAACCTCTCCGATAAGAACTTGGCCGACTCTGTGGAGGCACTTATAGGCTGTTACCTCATATCTTGCGGTTTCCGCAGTGCACTCATCGTAATGTCTTGGTTTGGATTGCGTGTGCTACCACAGATTTGTGAGGGTGCTCCTTGTGATTCTGAAGCCAAGGTAGTTGATGAGCTAGTCACGTGGGAACAAGAGTACTCCGAGAATCAGAATAACTGCAAGAAGCCTCAAGCTCGCTATGGTTACCTGAAGCAACCAGAATCGCCATTCTTCAGAAATGTCTCTGATGCTGAAGAGAGGTTAAATCATCTTCTAGTGGGCATGGATGACTTTGAGCAAACCATCAAGTACAGCTTCAGTGACAAGGCTTACTTAGTGCAGGCCTTCACACATGCTTCCTACCACTACAACTGTGTCACTGATTGCTATCAAAGGTAAATATTGGTTAAATGGGTTAATATTTACGTTTTTTTCTGTCATGATCTTTCCGTCCATATTAAAAAGCAATTTTTTTGGCATTTACATGCAGATATTGCTCTAACCTTGGTCCAACACCACAGGCCCAAAACAGTGATCACATTTTTCAAATATTGGGATAATGCCACATTGTGGGCCTTTTGATTTTCCATGGAAGGTACAGTACTCCTCAGTGCTACACCACTAACCAAAGTATAACGATCTTGTGACACCATTGAGCAAGTGTTATTTCCGCATCTCTCCACTCACTTTCAGGCTAGAATTTCTTGGGGATGCTATCTTAGACTACCTCATTACCCGGCATCTCTTTGACCACCATCAGGACCTTTCGCCCGGGGCTTTGACTGACTTGCGCTCAGCCCTCGTCAATAACACCATCTTCGCTTCCCTAGCCGTCAAGTTTGGCTACCATAAATACTTCAAGGCGCTTAGCCCTGAGCTTTTCCATGTTATCGACAACTTTGTAACCTTTGTGAAGGAGAAGAAGGAGGCTCTGGGCATGGGTTCACAGGTAGAAACACTGACAGTGTTGTCTAGGTGACTTTATAAACTTTCATCTTTCCTTTTCTCATCAGCAGTCTCCCTTTTTGTCGCCCTCTTTATCTTCTGTTGTACTTTCTCTTGTTGCCTTATCTGGCAGTTCTGTATACATGTTTACATGTTTGTATCCTTCCTCAGCACCAGATTTGGAGGGGAACACCCACTATATTTTGATACTTTTTAGGGAGGAGATAAGTTTCCCTTCCCCGTTTGTCTTTTGTTCTTTTGAATAATATTAAAGACAAATATTTTCAGGAATGCTATTCACTTGAATGTACAGATCACTTCCATCTGAGGCATCTTTCCAACTGTCGACAAAAGTGTTCTGGACATTGTATCAAAGACTTGGCATAGTTACAAACCCGTCTTTAAAATGAAAAAGCACATTTTTTGAAAGCGTTGATGTTGTCTTTTTTTAAGTTAAAAGTGCTGGATGTGGAAGGCCTTCCAGGACACGAGGATGAGAGTGAAGACATTGAGGTACCCAAAGCACTAGGAGACATCTTTGAATCAGTAGCTGGAGCTGTGTATCTGGATAGCGGTATGTCACTGGACACTGTCTGGAGAGTTTACTATCCACTCATGAAGCCACAGATAGGTTTGTTATCAATCGCCATTCTTATTCCTTATTCATAAATCAGGCAGTTGTAAACCCACATCTATGTATAGAGGACCGGAGTGAAAACTTCACACGCACAATTATGTGTTTAAAAGGCATTACCACAAGAACCAGTGAGTGAACCAACACACGCCTGTATTCCATTTTTTGTACGGCACTCTCTGGTTCTAAATGAAGTCACACATCAGTATTCTATGGATAGAGCAGTGCCAATGTCAGACTTTGGAACCAAAATGGCTGTTTTGGGTGCAGTACAGCATGCAGCTGTTGTGTGCTAACTGTCCATATGCACTGATGCATAATCCAACATGTTGGTTCCAACAATTTGAGACACCATGTTGAAACTCTCTCTATAAACAGCTGAGCTAGCCCATTCCCATTTGTCAGGAGCAATTATCACATGGATGGTGTTTAACAGATGATACCAACTGATTTTAAACACTTTCCAGGTCTTATATTAAATTTTGACTCCTATTTTGTGAATCATAACCCTCAGACTTGACAATCTTCATTGTCAAGTAGGCAGTATAACCAGTGAGTTCACATTGCATAGAGTTGGTATTTTGCTCTATACCAGCTCAGTTGCAATTTCTTGTCACATCACACAGCTTGCACCACGCCCCACATATACATGTGTATGGAGATATTTATAACAATACCACAGATATGACTAAAGGGGTGCTTCACAAAATGTGACGTAACATGAGGCAAAAAGTACAGGAAAAAATGCTTTTTGTTTTACTTTCTCACCCCAAAAGGTAATTGTAAATGGGAATTAAAGTGTGATGGGTTGGTACTAAGCTAATATGTTTAAAATCTGCCCGAAGCCTGGCAGCAATAATGAACCTGCCTTTGGCTTTGGCTCAGTCCATTATCATCTTCAGGCCCCTAGCTGGTTTCAAACACACTAGTTTAAAAATCAAGTTTATTCCCATGGTAAAGATAAGCAAATTACACAACATTGTACCATACATTGTCAGTGGATGCCGCACTTTCTTAGCGACTTTTTTTTTAACCACAGAACAATATGCAGCAAGTTTACCGATTTCACCTGTGAGAGAGCTTCTGGAGATGGAGCCAGAAACAGCAAGATTTGGGTAAGATACGTTTCTGTTAAATGAAAGACTTTAGAGGAACATCAAGGTATTTATAGTATAAGTAAACAAGAGGTCATTGTCTTTTAATTGCCACTTAAGTAGGTAAGAATTTGTATTAACCTCCATCCCACAGCTAAGGTGGTGTTGGACTAAATTTTGTTAGGGAGGCAGGGTTCAGGAGTTTGAACACCCCCCCTTTCTAACCCTTTGTAATCCTCCATTGTTCCACTAATAAAACTACTGCAAAACAGAACGCATGACAGATTTGACAGGGTTGTCATTTGGGTATTTAAAGTGCCTCAGAACTTTTAAGCTGACCTGTTTTGGGCTTGCATATTGCAGTCATTATAAGATTTCCTCAAGAGGCATCTACCCCCAACCCCATTTAATTCATGAAAGGGACTAACTTGATACAAAATAATTGTTTTACAGCCCACCAGAGAGAACAATGGATGGCAAGACTCGAGTTACTGTGAATGTTGTTGGCAAGGGGAAATTTAAGGGCATAGGCCGTAACTACCGCATTGCCAAGGCAACAGCAGCAAGATGTGCACTCAGACATCTGAAGAGCCAAAAGAAATAAAGGACATCCTCGAACATATGACATTTAAAATATGGAGAAGACCACATTTGAGAAGCAAATGCCAAGTTGTTTGAGATACATGTTGATATTTGTGGAAGGTATTTTATATCACATTTTGAATGACACTCATTAGCTCAAGCTTGCAAACTAAATACATATATGTAAATGCTTACTTCACTGCTGCTCAATTTAGTGCTCGGATGCAATGCTCGAGAAACCATAAAAACTGAACAATGACATGTTGTAAATTGTTGGGACTCATCATGATAACTCATAGTAACAGCTGTAAACCAGTGGGCTCTTTGTATCTATGGTTGATAAGTACTTTTCCAAGTTCAACAAGGTGGTGGTATCTGTACATGCTGAAGTGGTCTTTCCTTCAGCAGTATGGTCTTACCAATCAAGGGCTGCATGGTTGCTATTGGGTAGACAAACTAGTATAGCATTTGAAGTGGACAGCTAATTGATCACAAAAATGGGAATTTCATAGCTTCTTTGTTGAAAAGAGGCGAGGTTGAGAGTTCATGTGGACTTAAGTCTTGAACACAAGCACACTGCATTGTAGTGAAATACAGTGTAGGTTCAATCTTAAAAGAGGATTTATCTCCAACAATTCTGGCAAGAGAGTACTTTTATTGTATTGACAAACAGGTGGTGCTTTAAATGATGAATATTAAATAGTTTGATCAGTGTATAAACACCCCGAAGAGGATCCCTCATTCTGTTTGAAATTATTTGCAAGATGCATTCTTGTGATTATAAGTATCCATACATTTTTTTAAGCATGAATTAATTTCTTGGGTGTTTTTCTTCTTTTGGGGGATGTCTGCAATACATATAATAATAAACAGTACTCCTTGAAAGGGAGCTTTGTGTTTTATGGGATATGGCAACATTTGGGGAACTTGTTCATCTTGTGGAATTCACAGTGCAGCTGTTTGACGCCATGCCATAAATTGCCAAATTGGTGTTAGTGTTCTTGGGTTCACATCAATTTTGAATCACCTTTGCATCATTCCGTTAACAGGCATGCAAATTTTTTCTCAGATCAGACGATTTCCTTTTTTTTTGGAATTTACCATTGAAATGGAAAAAAAAAACACCCTCCGAACTCTTGTGCAGGTTGAAATTTCTTCCTTGTTCAGGTTTCCCATTTGCATGCCTGAGTTACATAATTTGAATACAATAGAATCCTGGCGTGATATTTTTAACGCACTCACACTTTTAACATCATACCGGGACTTTGAAGTAGCCTCAAAGAATGTATTACTTTATCATGAAAATCAGTATTTGTAACGTATCATTCTTGTTGAATAGTTGGTGTTTCCTCCATGTGCATTCAAAAGTTTTAAATGTATTACAGTATTAGATACAAAGTTTGTAAAAATATGTACTTTCCTGATTCTCAAAGCAAGAACCGGTGATGCAGAGAAAGATTTAATTTTCGAATACAACTATTTTTGTGACACAAACCTATGAAATACTTCAAATTAATATAGATCATGCTTCCATGTTCAGGAAGTGATTCACATTGAAGAAAAAATACAGAAATCTTCATGGCCTGTGTTTATTGCTTCTCCACAGTGGTACATGTAATACATGTTATCAGTAAATGTAAATGTACTCATTTCCAAGGATTCAGAACTAAAACGGCTATTTCCCACTCATAGGATTTGAAAGTTGTAAACAAAACATATTCCAGTTGTCACCAATTAAAACTGAACTCCATTTCATTAGAGCACTTCATGTATCTTTGACATCTTTATTCCGATTTCTAAAAATGCATGAATAACAGACCGATTGCATCCACTAAGTGGCATGACCTGAAGTGGGTATTAAATATCAACAAACACAGCATCCACGAAAGCCAAGTGTTTCTTAAGTACAATTTTCCACAAATAAGGCTGACAGCAAGTACGTACTCGGACTACTGATGTGCTGGGTACAACACTGTAAATTGGCTTTATTGCTTATAAACAACACTCAAAACATACATTGCTATTGAGTTGAGACCCACTATAGGTCAAGTGAGTTAGCAGGCACAATAGGTCAGTGGACAAGTTTGAATTCAGAGATTTTGGATGCTTCTCTTCTACGGTGGATCTGGGTGGTAGAATGGGGGGGGTACAAATAGGGCAATACAACCGGTTATATTGTATGCTGTATCTGGTATTATTCAAACACTTTATAAATGACATTTAACAATTAGGCATTTTACCCTGAAAATCAAGAGAACATCTCAAAATATTTAAAACAAATGTTTTGAAATCCACACACGTGCAACTAGAAACATTGCAAAGTCATCTTTTCACTCAATTTGATTTTACAGCTCCCTGTACAATGCATCCATCCACAGCAGTCTATCTGGAAAGACAACCATTCCGGTGTCTAGCTTTTTTCCTTAGTTTTTATTTGGTACTACTGACTTGGTTCTCACAGTCTCACCCTATTCAGAATCTCAGCATCATGTCAGGCTGTGGTGTCATCCTTGACTCTAGAATCACTGTTGAACATCAAATGGAAATACTCAACACTTTAGAATGCCCAATTTGGGCAAACACAAGAGTATTTTAACACGGGGGTGAGTGGAACATAAAAGAAATAGCTAAAATTGCCAGCACGAAGCGTGAAGCATATACAGCATGGGGTCTGGGGCCCACTTAAAGGCCCCTAGAAAGTTTTGAAGTGCAGATGCTCTGTGGTGCATTTTACAGCCTCCTGGTGCAACTATTTGCCATATTTGTCTTGCAATTTAGGTTACACATACATGTACATGTATTTTTAATTTTAGTCTTTCTTCATCATGTTCACATTTGGCTGAAATTCCTGAAGGTTAATAAAAGGAACTAGTAATAAATATACCAAAATTGTAAATACCGAGGTTTGTAGGGTGAGTTGGCCCTTTCCCACCTGATCTAACCACATTTTTGAAATTTCGATTCTTTTAAATAAAAATGCTCATTCAATGTCTAGGCTTTTGGATTTTCTGGGCGCGGACTGTGTTGCCTGCCCATCTTTGGTGTATTCCATTCACGTCCATTTCCGTGCATTTGTAACTTGAGGATCGGTCTTGTCAAAGACCGTATCCAAGTTGGAACCTCTTTGGACAATTGTACATTTGTGTTGTACTGACATTATAATGAGTTAATGTCCACCCCTGTAAATAATAAGGCTGATATTATGTTGTGATAACTCAAAAACTGACCTTTTGCCCATATGTGCCTGACTTTGATATGTGTACCACTTGACCTCTCAAAACACAAACTTCCAGAGTATAAAATGTGCTAGGGTAATGTAAATTAAACACCAAATAACAAAGTTTATGTTTCTGTTAATACATTCAGCGTTAAACAAAAATAGGCAGGAATAAAGTTAAAGAAAATAGCAACATACAGGTAGCTCACATAGATGGGCTTTCATGAAAGTCAAGTTCCCATAGCTGGTTTGATGGATGAATTTGTAGCAATAGTTTAATGTTGATCATGAATGAAAGCACCAAATATTTTAAAATAATTTGACCATAGCTGTAAAGCGATTGTTTTTATGGAATACTGGAGGTCACTTTTTGTGTAGTTTAAAAGGCCTGTGTGAGGATAACTATGCTTAGTGGCAGTACGGTCGTCATAAAAGCTGCTTATGTAATTAGGTAAGAGTGTTTGGGAGGTGTTGGGGGTACACCCACAAAGGTCTAACTTGTAATCTCTTGTTTCAAAGTGAAATCTTGGTGCTTGTCTGTAGTGCATGGGTTTTACTATGTTTAGGCATATTGATCAAGACTGTCTGCACGGCTGCTGTCCAATAGGTTAAAGGTTGACAGCTGTTGCTGCCATTCATTTCTCAGGTTGTTTCCCTCTGTGCCAAGGCTAGACCATGTATCTCAATAGAGGGCTGCTTTCTAGTAAAGCCAAGAGCTGAGGTTGTTGCTGCCATTCATTCCTAAGCTTGTATCCCTCTGTAACAACGTTAGACCATGTATCCACAGAGGGCTGCTTTCTAGTAAAGCCAAGAGCTGAGGTTGTTGCTGCCATTCATTCCTCAGCTTGTATCCCTCTGTAACAACGTTCGACCATGTATCCACAGAGGGCTGCTTTCTAGTAAAGCCAAGAGCTGAGGTTGCTGCTGCCATTCATTCCTCAGCTTGTATCCCTCTGCACTAATGTTGGATTTCTGGTCAAACTGATGCTTCAGTGTAATACTTGACCAATCCTTTCTCAGCTTGTCTCCCTCTGTGCCATGAGACAAGCATCTAGGAGACTTTTGCGACTCTGCTGGACCTGTTGCATGGTCAAATACTCATCAAGATGGCCACGAATCTACAACAGATTTCATACCAATCACAAGCAATCAGATCTCAAGTGGGGATCGGGGTGGGGGGGTTGTGAATCTACCTCCCCCACTCATTGCTATTATTATTACTTTTTAGGGGCCTACGTCTAAATGTTGAAAGCATGGGGGTCTTATTAACATTTTTGGTTTAAGGACCAAAGAGAGAGATTGCATGTACATGCCTTCAACAACAGCAAATCATTTCAGACCCCCCCAGCAAAAAATCCTTGATCTGCCCCTGATCTTTTGGAAAGATGGTTACGTTCTTTCAAAATTCCTTTTTTTAATTCAGCAAAAATTGTCAAGGAATCGGGCACTAGTTTAATCTTCCTCCACTGATCCACTTTAAAGCAAAAGATTTACAAATCACAAACATATCAGATGTTAGATGAGTTCATTGATCGGTTGAACCAGTTTAGTATTTCAAAAAGGTAAGGTCAACGAAGAACAAAGAACAGCTTTGTATGAGTGATTCAGCCCAGGGTTTGGCCTATGGCTGTAACTGATACGACTGTCCTTGTATATGTATTAAGGTTCTCAGATGACCTCCAATGTGCTCCACTTTGGTTATACATGCACTGCATTGCATTAATGGAAAGCTCTCATTGGCATCTTACATTTGAACTTCTACTGGACCTGTGAGATGTGTTGGCTGCTGGACCAAGCCGGCTGTGCTGTACTTCCAGACACCTGTCCAGAAACTTCTTTCGGAATGCCTTAAAGCTTCTCTTCTCATTGTCCTATTCATATTGTAAAAATCACAGTTAAGTCAAACTAAATCTTGGGGTTTGCTCTAGAAGGATTCAGAGGTGTGAATAAATTCTAATAAGATAAATTAATGTAGCAAGCTAACTCTAGTCCATTATAAATTAAAGGCAGAAAAGCTTTCCAAAAAAGGAAAAAAGACAAGGTACACGTACATGTACATGCACGGTACAAGTCAAGAACATAATTGGCTATTGGACAGAATCAGCTTGAGATTTGAGCACTATTTCTTTGCAACACTGTACACATGTGAAAACGCACAAAATGTACAAAACATACACGTAACTGGTATCTGTGGTGAAAAGCACTATGAAAGTAAAATATGACATCATTACTAGCTTTAAAGACAACTAAAAATCGTCCATCTTCATTTTCAAACCCATCACCTTGACTGAGGCCACATATCGCATTACAACACTATTCCACTAAACCACTTTGTGCTGGAGGATGTATAAACACAATCTGGCCATCTACATGTACATACATGTACATAGTGATAGCCATATGTAAATTGCAACATACACCTTGACCGATATTAAGTAAGTCTCAGAAGTCTTTGCAAGTGGACTGTGCCTTTAGGTCGAACTGGACCTCTGTACACAGTTTCGTTGCAGCAAATATTATTCCACGGTGGCATCCCAATGTTGCAAAATATACATGTGAGGTTGCAGGAAAAACTACTGTAAGGATATTGTTTAAATGACTCTTACAATTCAGTATTTGTGGGGTTTCATAATATCGGTAGACGGTATACATGTACATGTATATAAGTTGGGCCCTATATCTTGCCTGGCTTAAAAATAAAAAATTTTGGCCAGAACTATACCATTCATAAGTGGTTAAGGCAGCGCTGAACCTACATGTACATCATCTAAGATTCTAAAAAAAGGAAAGCCATAACTTACATTTTGTGACTTCCTGAGTGGTTGGACAGCAGCTAGTAATGGAGTCTTGCCACATCCACTCAGTTGAGGAGGGCTCCTGGTAGCTTTTATATCCATGTCCTCACTACTGTTCGACAATAATCTGGAGAGAGTTCTGACCTCTTGCACATTCTCCTCAGTTAAATGGTTTGCTATTTCACATCTACATTTGGTATCGGACCTCCCCAGTATTTGATTTGATGGTTGCTCCAATTCAGCAGGTTCTGCCCACCCAGTAACTGTCTGGTTTCTCTTCTGCCTTGGATTCCCTCCTTTGCCAAGCTCAGATGACATTTGTGCTTGTAATGCATCATCACCACAGTCCTTTGTAGTGGCTCCACAGTTATCTTTTGGTGCGTGTCTCTTTAGTTTGTCTACTTTGGCAACTCTATTTGGATTGACACTGCTGAGCCCTCTCTCAGATACATTTTGGACATTGCTTTCATCTTGTGCGATTTTTGACAATGATGCATCATTTTCATCCTCTATGGCAATGTGATGGTTGCTAAGTTGTACCTGTTGTTTGTTCTTCAGTCTTGAGGAGCTTCTGTATGGCATTGGTGCTGGAAATGTCTCACATTTCTCCTCCTGGAGTATCTGTTCTGCTTGCAATCTATCAGTTTTTTGTCTTTCTGTCACCGGGCCAGCGCAGTTGCTTTCCGCAGACTTTCTTTCATCTCCTCTCCACCCACTTTGCTTAATGAGATTTGGCGGCGAGTGTGTGCAATTGCTTTTAACTACTTGAGGTTTTCCCTTCACAGGAGAAGATTTCTCAGGTTGGGAGGTGAACGTAATCTGTGCATCCTGCAACACTTCAATCTTTGTCTCCACACTTTCATCATTATTACAACTGGCATTCACTAAGTTCACTCTGTCTGGGCAAAGCAAGCTCTGACTCCGCCTGGTTTTGCTGTTTAAGAAACCAAGGAACGTGCGACGGAAAGCGCTAGATTTGATTCGGGCAGCCACATCTGTCAGATCATGAAATGGCACAAAACTCTCAGCAAAGAACCTGGGAATGCTCAGTTTTTGTAATTCCCGTGTTATATTTGTTGTTAGTTGTGAAGGGACTTGATCATTCTCTGTATCAGAGACATCAATGTCTGTGTCAAAGTGATAGCAGGACTTGTACTGAGATAACGTCTGCTGTAGACAGATGGATACTGCTTGACAAAGGCTCAATTCTTCTTCATCTGTCCATTCCACACACTCAGTACTTATTGATGTTGGTCTGACTTCGATATTATCAGTCCTCTTTCCTACAAGAATCCAAAGATCCAACGGTTGAGTCAATGCACATTCAAGATGGCACCAAGTAATAGACTTTCAAGTTTTTCGAATACATATCAAGACTCTGTATACAACTTTGTGTAATTTTGTTGTGCCTCACATAATGAATTAAAGAGAAATAAACAAAATGAGTGGCACATTTTCTGTGCAAAACAGCACAGGAAACTGTTTCAGAGGATTTTGTCTCATACAAACTTCATGCAGTGACATGACAGCTTATTACCAAATATTTTAACAAAATGGCCTTTAAAAGTGGCACAAATACTCATGACCAGATGCACAGTTCAGAGTTCACTTAGTACCAGACTGAATATGTGTAATCAGCGTAGAACTTGGCAGAAAATGAACACTTGGATTACCAACACCCCTCCCACAACAGGTTGCTAAGATTCAGGGCCACTTGTACAAGTATATTACATATTGCAAATGACGGTTGTGAGTGGATCACGATATGATCAAGCGCAAATTTATATCACTGACTAGGTATCTATAGGCTTAGCAGAGCACAGCAGGACAACGGATTGACTGTATGCAAAATCAGTGGTTCCCACTCATCAAGGAGGGGTAAAAGGACGTCAAGTAAGGTTTTGTGATTCCCCCACAGGGGTAACAATTTGCCTTGATACATGCAAGTGTACAAAATAGAGAACTTGGCAGCTGAGGGAAAAAGGGTGACTGATTGGTGATTACTTCAGAGATGCAAATATTGAATACACACTGTACTGGTAAACAGCCCGTGGAGTCTGGGTCAGCAAACAGTGTACACAAATGGCTGCATCAGCGAGACCCATCAATGCATGGCCTGACAACTTCAGCACAAACCTTTGAGATATTTTCATCGTCTTCTTAGCTGTAATATACTCAACTGTATAATTTCCTTCTTTTGCTGGAGATGCCTGCAGAGCAAGAGGTGTATGTAGATGAGTCGCCATGGCTGGATTCATTCAGTGTTGTGACATAGGTCCATGGAATAGTATCTTCATCTTCGACCAATATGTCCGACAATAACCGATGACGTGACAAAGGTCCTGACATTCTGGCCGGCCTGATGTCTTTTCCTTCTCTCTGTAAAAAACATTCAATTATGCCAAAATCCAATACCTAACTTTAATAAGGGTTTTGGGGTGAATATCGGGGTCAAAATTCCAGTTGCTAATAAGTAGACCTGTGGCCTATTTTGGCATGCATGGTAGAATAGGGCTTGTTGTTAATTGAAGCAGAGCCCATTTTTATGGGAGCTGTAACCCGGCCATCCCTAAATGGTAAAAGCTGAACATAATAAACAAGTACCATTTGAAAGCCCTAGTACTACCACTAGCCCTACCATTGTCATTTTCCATGCTTTGCTGTAATAAACAGTTTCAGTGGACTGTAATATTTTGGGAAGATTATATGAATGCAACTATGTAATTTTTTTTTGACAGTGACCTATCAGCCATCTGAAAGCACTGAAATGTCCTAAAAAGTCAAATTTAGCAGTGAAAATATTGAGGAATTCACTTGGAAAACAGAAAATTTCAGACCAGTCTCATAGGGTTTGTGCATAGGGTGTCAAGCAGCATCCGTACACATTGAATAAATGTAAACATGTACTTGCGATTTGCAATAGTGCGCCTCCAAGAGTTTGCAATGCATTGGCCAAATCTATTGACCCTTGCCAAATGCGCACTGGTTCGACAGATTTCGCGCATTGTAGTTGTCATATTTTGGGTGAATTATGTCAGATGTGAGTGGCATAAACTTAGAGGAGAAAATTTTTATAGAAATTTACTGCCCATTCCGTAGTTCAAGCAGCTGAATTACTGTTGCACTATACTTAGGCCAATCCCAGCTATAGTTGGGACAGACACTAGTTGGGGCATAACATCTCTTTTTAAAACCCTCCTATGCTGAAGTCACTCTTTGGGTCACTTGGTAAACACCTCAAAGAAGCACAGCTGTGTTGTGTTGTGCACTGCACCAACATGCAAGAGAGTGACCTTGGGCACTTGTGCATATTTGTGCTGTAAAACTAAATGAGGGTTTTTAATGTCAAGTTAAAAAATATTAAATGTAGTTGCTAGTTAAGGCAGGTTTCTGTAGACCTACATTTTATTGGACTTTGGGCAGTGTCCGAATTACTTGGCTATGGCTTGATCTTACACCCGGCTCTATGGGAACTGTCTGTGGCCACTAGCATAGTCTTCGTGCTTAATTTCAGTCCACAGCCAAGTAATTTGGAGATGGCCAAGACTTGACCAAGTCGGGATCCTCTGTGACGTTGTCTGTATTTATGCTTTGGATATGGAGGCTGCACAGCGTTAATTCTTTTGTGCCCTCTTGTGTCCACTTATTACTGTGCGTTCAGAAATCCTGACTTGACGAATCTGCCAACCGCTTGTACACAGTGAATCAGCTCATCCACCAAAATTGGTAGCAGCCAATCAAATTGCCGGACTTGTTTTACATACCTGCATTACAATGAATGAGTCGACAAGACTTTGATTGGTAGAGATTCCAAGTCTAATTTGATTGGTGGAAATTCCACATACATTAGGCAAGATCATGTCGTTCATACATGTATATGCAGTTATGGATAACTACATTTCACCGATGGGGGGGCGGATTGGCTTATCTGTGAAGTCAGACTTACTGACTGGTGACGTACATGTATGACACACGTTGTACAATAAAGGCAGGCTAATGAAGGGATGTCTGACTTGAGCACATCGGGCTTGTTGGGACTGCACACCAGCATGGTCTGTGCATACTGACTGGGCCACCACAATGCCACAACAGTATCTGAAATTCAAATCTTTAACGTTAAAGATCGGCTATGATAATTGGGAAAGTGTTCCAGAAACGGACGCTGCCAGTCACGTCCCTGTGCACAAACCCTGTGAGACAAGTCTGAAAAAGTTTTCTGTGTTAAACGGGGGCCTGCTGCGGCAGGATATCAATTTAACGTCTCCCGGTGAGATAGTAACTCGAAATAAATAGTTACAAGTGGCCTTTATAAAATTATATGCTTCCGTACTTCCGAAGAACTTCAAATTCATTCAATAAAATACTACTCATGTATCAGCTTATTAGTAGTAGAGTGCTAGTAGTACTTTTACCTTAATAATACACTGCAGTCGAAAAATTAAGAATGGTACATTTTCAGGGTTAAATTCGAAAAAGGTGGCTTCCGAAAATTGGGCACAAATTCAGCTGATACATGTATGTTCGAAACTCGTGAAAACGTTGTTTAGTTTGCAAGCGCGGGAAATTCACATTGAACGGAAGTTGAGTGTGCCTGTGGTGTATTTGTGTGTACGTACATGTATACATGTATATGCAGGTCATGCACCAATATAAGGATGAATATGGGTGGGTGAGTGTGTGGTACCTGACCGTCCCATGCGCTGTGTGGAGTCGAGGAAGGAATGTTGTCGGCGCAACCAGCTCGAAAACGTGAGAGCTAACGACATGAACGATGAAGACGCCGCAAAGTACCAAGAAGATTTCTGCTTTTGCTGCCTTAGGCTCGAAAATTAAGGTCTGGTTCAATCCTTTGTTTTTTTGTAGCGTTTTATCATATAGGCCATCTGCAATAATATAGGTTTTTTGGTTTTTTTTACCTTACCCACCATGCCCACGTTGCTTTTGTAGCTAGCTAACCCCACAGCTTGCCTAGGCCTATTACTACTTTACTAGCTATGCAGGAGCCCATCCCAAGGGTGCACCCTGGTAATTA